CTCATGTCTAAGTTTCTGTTTGCCAAAAGCTACAGCACCACTTGTGACCAGAAGCATTTGCCTTCCACTATTCTGTAACTCAGACACCTAAAAGGTAACAAGAACAATAATTGTTTTTTAATACAAAAATTTCATTGCAAAAACAAATACAAAATAAAACCAGTCTTTTCCAATATCAGCCTTAAATTTCTTTATAATTAGCCATGCGAAGTTGGTAAATACATGTACTTCTTGCTAAACCAGTTTAAGTTATGGTTTTTTTTTTTCCACTCAGAGTTATAGCCTGCTTGCATCACTTTGCAAGCCACATTAAAAAAAAGTACATAACTCTTATTTACCGAATTCAAGATCTATACTATAATAAAGACGAGGTTTTTTTCTGTTCAGAGGGCCCAAGTGTGTGGGGCATAAATCCGAGGGAAAAAGGAGGTTCCAAAACTTACATACAAACCAAGAAAACAAAATCAGCAAAATATTTATTATATCTCTAGGTTTGAACAGAGAGGGAAGATTTTCTTTTTTAACATAAGATTGAATTTAGCAGGCCATACAATGAAGTATGGCCCACTAAACTGACCAATCATAGTGCATGTGCTAACTGAAAGATGCAAGAAGATAAGATGAATATTTTCTACTTGTAATTACCTGTTACTTTAGCTAAGAGAAAAATTTAAAAATTACTTGATATAATTTAACATATAAAAATATACATGAAAACACTTTGCTTGACTGATTGGCTAAAAATGAATGCATTTTTCATGTAAAACCAGTGCAAACAGTAACATGAGCCCAAATTACAAATAGCACATGCACTGTCAAAATTTTGTCTGTCTTGACTATCCATAATGCCTTTATCATGTAAATTACTAACAAGTGAAAAACATTGTATTTTTGGAGCAACTGCAGAATACCCTGCCACTCAGTTACAAGTCATTGAATAAGAATAGCCTCTATTGTCAGGAAGGAAGATAACACAATAGACGCTATTCTTATTCAATGACATGTATTGGAGTCAAGCTGAGGTAAGTTAATTTCTAGACAACTTTTTCATGAAGATGTTTCCATGAAGCTTGCCTGGTAGAAAAGGGACAAAATAAAGCAAATACCGTAAAAGCCTTGGAAGCATTACCTAAGAATAAGTGCTGTGAATTAATTTAACAACTGAGCAAATTTTTTTGCCATTATCTTTTGGCTTAGTAATAAAATACTTAATGCTCGGTTAAGATTGCCAAATATTTGGATGGTTATTTTTCTGGCATTTAAAAACTAAAACATCGAATTGGGCATGAAATAACACGAGAAAAAACACTTGGCCAGTATCCAGACATCTTGACCTCACACTACATCGTTTACATACAAAAACACTGAATACTAAAAATAACTTACGATATATATCAAGGCTCACAATTAAAATCAATACTTTTTGTCATATTCTTAGTTCGTTCCATCGTTTCCCTGAAAGATTTTAACCGCTTGCCGCCCTGATATTGAAAATTTTGTTATTTGGGGTAGGGTTGAGTGAACGCACGTGTGAGGGTGTAATTATAGTAACAAAAAACGTGATATTTTGAGGATCGAATGAAGCTGTAAAGAGTTATTGCGAGAGATCAAATATTATGATCTTAAATGGAGAGGAATCAACCTGGATCGCAATCATGTATCACACGGCGACATATCTTATTAGCTTAACAGGTACATGTATTTCTCGGCACTCGTAAGCTACTCTATAGCAACTCATTATCAAATTTGATTTAGCGCCTTACTTGTTCAACGATAGAGGCAAGTCTTCCGAGAGCAACACCGCATTCGTCATCTCCAGTGATAACAGCTGATCCAAGCTTAACCACAACCCTTTTTGCTTTTCTTTTCAATTCGGATCGAAACGCAATTCCATTTGCGCTGTTTGTGTGAGAAGATCTTATCGTTCTTTTGTCGAGTGTAGAAAAAGTTCTCCCATGACAACAAAATTTCGCCCAGCGAAGGAGAAAGTTAAGAACCCCGTTTTGAGTATTCAGTACTGGCATTCCTTTACCGTCGAATGTACACGCTCTTCTTGCTCCCTTACATTAACACAAAGCAGCGATTATTCGGCCATCAGGCATCGACTTACGTACGTGGCCTTGGACATCGGGACAGGAAGTGTGCATTCACGTGTCAATGCGCATGAACGAGACTAGAGTCCGACCGGAAGTTTGTTGAGCTAATTGAAAAAGTGACGCGAAGGTTTCGAAAACCTGTAATGGCAATGACGTCAACCAGCCTGCTTCTCTAAGGCTGCTATGCAACAGACCAGGAATTGACAGTGTTAATCTTTTACTTTTTCGCCTAGTTTTGTATTTTGAAACTTCAATTTTATTTTCTGAATGAGAAGAGCTGTTTGTTCAAGTGAGCATGCGTTGTTGAGGAACAAACTGAACCGATAATACGCTGTAGTTCATTACTTGGAGCCATGGTGCCTAGTGGTACATGAATAATAGCATTTAACCTGTGGATTATGTTCAAATCAAGAAATGATCTCTGCTTGTGAGCTGCAATTAAAAGAAATCGCAGAAAAGAAGCGCACAAAAATTCAATCAGTTAAACACCTAGCTCTCAATATGTGGCCTCGTAACTGAGTGGGCGCTCAGTGGTCAATCTGGTAATAAATTTCCGGTGATTATTATCAAATGAGTAAAATGCAACACCTCTCTTCATCCATCCCCACCCCTCCCCCCACCGCTCCATTGTTATTAGTCATTTAGTACACCATAAGAGTTTGTCTTTTCCTCCCAGGCTCAGATCCAACCAAAGTGTCAGAGTTGTTTATCACTAACAGGATATCCTTGCGA